CAGTGAAGGAGTGAGTCCACTGGTCCATGTTCTCCTACAGTCAGTGAGACATAGATCTGAGTGTCGTCTGCATAGTTATGATAGGACACTTTGTTTCTGCGTATTAACTGACCTAACGGCAGCATGTAGAGATTGAACAGAAGAGGTCCCAGGATCGACCCCTGTGGGACTCCACAGGTCAGGGCCATATGGTCTGAGACACAGTTTCCAATCTCCACAAAGTACTTCCTGTCCTCAAGGTAAGACCTAAACCAACTTTGGACCACCCAGTCCTCTAGTCGCTAAGAACATTGGGCCTCATTCACGAATAACTTCGTAAGAAACTTCTCAAATTTCTCCTCAAGTTGTCCTTAAGTAGATTTCTAAGAAGTCCCTACGTGGGATTCATCAACGCACTCGTAAGCCGCTGAAGTGTTCGCAGCTGTTCTCTCAGATTGATGAATCCCATTTCCTCGTAAGTACAGCGCGCGTGCCAGGTGCTTCATTAGCATAGGTACTTAGCATAAGTAACCGCCCACTAATGCCCATATAAGGGACTGCAGGGCCGTGTGCAGACGGCAGAGGAAACAGCAACAGGCCTAAAGCAAAGAGTTACACGGAGCAAAAGAGTCACCCTTTTTTCTTCTTTTGCCAGACTGAGAATAAAGTTATAAAATGTTGACTTAAAAGTCGAAATATTATGATAATAAAGTCGAAATAGCAAAATTATGAGATTAATCTAAGAATATGATTAGATTAATCTCAAAATGTTATGAGCCTAATTTAAAAATATATTATGTATTATTTTAAAGATGAATCTCAAAATGTTTTGAGATTAATCTCAAAATATTTTGGACCCTGGGAGGAGATCCAGCGCGGACCAGCGCTGAGACCAATGCAGACCCGAGGAGAGACTGGAGTGACCAGCACACAGAAACCAGCGCGGACCTATAGGAGAGACCGCATAGACTGGAGTGACCTGACTGGAGAGACCGGTGCGCAGAGACCAGCGCGGACCGAAGAGAGACCGCATAGACCAGACTTGAGAGACCAGCGCGGACCCGTATGGATCCAGGAGCATGCAGCACGGACCCGTATGGAGAGAGACCAGTGCAGACCCGTATATGGGAGAGACCAGTGCAGACCCGTCTAGATCCATGGGAGAGACCAGTGCAGACCCGTATAGATCCATGGGAGAGACCAGTGCAGACCCGTATAGATCCATGGGAGAGACCAGTGCAGACCCGTATAGATCCATGGGAGAGACCAGTGCAGACCAGTATAGATCCATGGGAGAGACCAGTGCAGACCCGTATATGGGAGAGACCAGTGCAGACCCGTATAGATCCATAGGAGAGACCAGCGCAGAGACTCAGCGCGGACCCAGTAACCTCCTGCAGCAGCAGTATATATGCCGTTGTTCTGTGGCCCGTGGATAAAGAAATGCCCCCTATAAATAGGAAGGGGTCACTAATACACGGCAAGATTTCCAATGTATTTGATAAAGCGTTGGCACATTTCATTTCAAAATGAATTAAAAAGTAGGCCAGATCTGCAGTGAAAAAGGCAGTATATAAATAAAGATTACTAATAAGATTACTACAAATAAATAAATACATACATCGATATGACGGACATATCACTGGAATGTTGTATTTTTATTAAACTTCACCAAAGAGGACAACCCCGGCTGTGAACATGTCGGCACTGAATGCGTACGAGTGCTCCTGAGGACTCGTAGGATTTGTACTTGCCCAAGAGAAATTCTGGTTACGAGAAAAATTCGTGAATGCCACTTTCTTCGTAAAAACCTCGTGAGTAGGATTTACGTACAAATCTGTTCCTAAGAACGTTCGTGAATGAGGCCCAATGTGCTTTATTTCAGGCCCAAACAGTTTAAACAACAATAATAAAAATAATAAGTAATAATTCAAAATCTGCTCTGACCTTTCTTCTTGAAAGCCCGGTTCATGGTTGAGCCTCTGGGATTAACGCCTCCACCGCTGAGACACACTGCCACCTGCAGGAAGACACACACATTACACCATGAGCGGGTCTACAGCCTCAGACCTGGGTCTACAGTCTCAGTCCTGGGTCTACAGCCTCAGTCCTGGGTCTACAGCCTCAGTCCTGGGTCTACAGTCTCAGTCCTGGGTCTACAGCCTAAGTCCTGGGTCTACAGCCTCAGTCCTGGGTCTACAGCCTCAGTCCTGGGTCTACAGCCTCAGTCCTGGGTCTACAGCCTCAGTCCTGGGTCTACAGCCTCAGTCCTTGTAGATGTTGTGTGTCCTTGTTCTATCGTAAATATCAGTTTTATCAAAGTCCCCCGTGAAGACACAAAAGGCTGTCCTTGAGACACACACAGAGATCCACAGATATGGCTCTCGCTGTTTGCACCAGAACAATCTCTCTCTGGTCTCTCTCTGGTCTCTCTCTGGTCTCTCTCTGGGCTCTCTCTGGGCTCTCTCTGGGCTCTCTCTGGTCTCTCTCTGGTCCCTCTCGGGTCTCTCTGGTCTCTCTCTGGTCGCTCTCTGGTCTCTCTCTGGTCCCTCTCGGGTCTCTCTGGTCTCTCTCTGGTCCCTCTCTGGTCTCTCTGGTCTCTCTCTGGTCCCTCTCGGGTCTCTCTGGTCTCTCTCTGGTCCCTCTCTGGTCTCTCTGGTCTCTCTGGTCTCTCTCTGGTCCCTCTCTGGTCTCTCTGGCCCCTCTCTGGTCTCTCTGGTCTCTCTCTGGTCCCTCTCTGGTCTCTCTGGCCCCTCTCTGGTCTCTCTGGTCTCTCTCTCTGGTCTCTCTCTGGTCTCTCTCTGGTCTCTCTCTGGTCTCTCTCTG